TTAAAGTTCGGTGGTTATGCTGGAAAGTCTGGCTCCAGGCTGGATACGCAAAATTTCACACCTAATTGTCTTTAGAGGTGAGCTCTGACGAGAATTTTTATTAAAATTTCATTGTGAAATTAAATGGAGTTCACAGTCTGGGCAAGGCCACGTTCTAAGCCTTAAAGAACCTAAAAGCAGCATATTATTATTTTTTGATGTGTGTCGGGTGTTTGGAACAATTCAGAGATCCTTTGAGTAGTCTACGAATTCACCATTAGTAACGCTGAAAATATTTCAGTGTTCTGGAAAAAAAAAAAACAACTCACTGCAAGGGAACTTGTTCTAGGAAGCCGAATAAAAGGTAATGAAATCAGCCTCAATCACTTCTTAAGTTCATCAGCAGCAGACAAATACACCTGAATGCTACAGTCCCATGTAAAATGTTTTGAGGTCACTGTATTAAAGGTGCTGGAACTTTTATTTTGGCAGAACAAAATATCACAAAACCTGGAGCACTACTGGCAACAACCATCAAGCTTTACCTTACATGAAAATGTAACTAAGATGTAAGTCCTTTTACTTAAGTCTTCATTTTACCTGTGCAAGAAATGATGTAGAAATAACCAATATGCTGATAGAATGCCCTTTAAAAACTCAGTTTCTCTGGACTGGGGATTTTAGTTTACTTCCATTTTACAGGGTATCTTGGCTTTGTAGGGAACAGCACTTTTTGAAAGCCTGAAACCCTGAGAGGTGGCTGGTGGCGTGTGTGTTGAGTTCTTACACCAAATTGATGTCTTTGCAATATCCATTGCAATCTAAGCAGAAAACGTACAAATGGTACCACATAAGTACATTTAGGAACAGTCCTTGCTGCAAGGGCACAGTGATGGCTTATGGTGCACCAGGACCACCGGGGCCTTCTCTGCAAAGCTCATTTTGAGAAAGTTGGCCCCAGGCTGTATGGGTACTCATGGTTATTCCTCCCCAGCTGTGAGCCTGGGCAGGTGCCCTTCTTTAACTAACTCCTCAAGACGCCTGGTTACTGGTTCCTCTGCCCTGATGAGGTCCCTCTCAATGGCAGCGACCATCTGAAGGCCCAACCACGCCGCCCCGTCTTGCACAACCTGCAAGGTTGCGCTCCCTCCTGTTATCCAGAGCATCCCAGGACCCCCCCTTGGGAAGCACCACAAGTGACTGGCCTCCGCCGGGGTGATGGCTGCCACTTGTCACAGCTCTGAGCTCGGTGCAGCCAGTCTTCGAGCCGCCTCACACCCGCTCACCTCAGCCCGCACGGCATCGCTGTGCCTAGGAGTGCGCTGTGGGTGATGGCATCAAGGTAAGGTCAAGGTAAGCAACAGCCGCGTGATTTCTCTTTTCATACATCCCTGCTGACTGCTCCCAGTCACCTTCCTACCCCTAGCGTTTTCGGCGTGGCTTCCAGGAGGCCGTGCTCCACTACTTTTCCCAGGTGAGGCTGGCCAGCCTCTGGCTCCCGAGGCCCTTCTGTCTTCCAGGCCTCAGCAGCCTCCCCTTGCTGCCGTGTCCTCCACGAGCAGATGCAGAGTGGTCCCACCGTGACCTCAGCGAGCTGCCTCAGCACATGTGGGTGCACCCCGCCGGGTCCCAGGCACTCCTGTCTGTCCTCTGTATTTAAATGTTCCCTGTCCCAGTCCTGCACCGCGGGCAGCCTGCCTCCAGACAATCCCCTGGTCTCGAGGATCTGCAATTCCTGAGACTGGACTCGCCATGAAGACCAAGAAGGTGGCTCCGGATGCTACTGGGACGCCTTTTCAGTGTCCTTTGTCCCCAGATCCCCTGCCCCATGCAGGTGTGCGGCGGGTTGAAGCTGATATTCCATTTCAGTACCACGTCAATAAGCTGCAGCGCAGAAAAAGCCCCACCAAATCCATTTCAACAGAGAAGAATCAGAATATTTTGCAGAGCAACCAGCGTGTAACAGCTGAGTTGGACAATTATTTGCTTATATGTTTTGCTTTATTTGTATGAATAAAAATAAACAAACAACAGGGGTCTTAATGTAGGCTTCTTGCATCTATAAGCATTTCTGCTGCCTCTTCCACAAAGAAAGCACTCCTGGGAGCATTTGCCATTTCTTAGTGGAAAAAGAGATCGTGTAAATATTTCTCAGAAAAAGAAAGAACCTCTTTGACCTTCATCTAATTAAAAAAAAAAAAAAAAAAAAAAAAAAAAAGGAAGAAACAAAGAAATCAAGCAAGGCAAATTAAATAAAGTAATCCTGCTGGTTGTCCTATGGAAGAAATTTTCTCATCTATTTATTCATGAAGAAAAGTGCTTTCCCTAGGCAGACAATTCAGTGTCAGAAAAAAATGCTAGATGAGGCAAAATGTTGTAGAAAATATTATTTTTTTTTAATATACAGCCCAGTTTTCCTGAGGAAGTTCCTGTTACTTGTGGTGCATGAAATAAGACCCCAGCAATGTCTCTGCAATGCCGCTAGCCAGCCAAACACTTTGGGATCGGTCCCTCACCAGTGTTTTATTCTTCAGCAATCTTTACCACTAAAAACTTGTTCATCTCTTTTAGGAGAAATCACACCCCAAAAATCTGACTTTATTTTACCTCTTGGACACTGGGAATGACTTTTAGGACTGGTACGTTGTCATGTTAGTACCACAGCTACAGAGATTGTTGGGCTGCTTTTGTGGTGTGTTGTGTTTGGTTTTTGTGGTTTTTTTTTGAAAAAGTCTCCGCATGCAGTACGTGCAACCTCCTCACCTCCCAGCTCTGCAGAACCTTCTTTGCAGATTTTAATTAGGTTTTAATTAGAAATGCAGTCCCTCATTGTCCCTACTTCTGGTCCTGCAGAGCGGCTGGGGGCTGGCAGCCAGGCCGCAGGCTGGGGGCAATTCCCCCTGCCCAGCCCCAGGCCAGACGCTCGATGGTGGTGAGGGGGAAAAGAGCTTTAGCCAGGCTGAGCGTGCAGCCAAACTGCATGGGGGTGTCCTTAAGGAAACAAACAAAAACCAAACCGGGAGCTGTGAACGTTGAGTTAAAAAGCCCCCCTCTCCGTAAGCCTTCAAACTACGGATGAGTTACTACCCGAACCAGATTTCGGGGCGCTCATCTCCGCACCGAGCCAGGGGCTTTCTATCAGGGTAATCACAGGCTGTGCTGGGCGTTTGATCTCAGCAGTGCTGAACTTCACAGGAAACATGTCAGAGGCACGAACCCCTGAGGCATCAGACTATGCCTGATGAAAAAAGAAAATCCTTTCTCTGACTTGCCTGGTCTCTCAGATGCCTAGAAGAATAATTAAAGCAGAAAGATGCTTTCTAGATAAAAGCCATAGCTCATTACTGCCTATAAAGAACATGGATAGTAGAAATAATAATCGCATAAAGGTATTTTTGAGCTCCTCTAAGTTCCCCAGAGTTCAAGGGAAGGCTCTGGTTGTTCCAAGGAATTAAGCAGTCTTTTTTTGTCACACAGATTGGTGCAGGTAATAATTCCCACACAGCTACTGTCACGTTAGCTCTTCCTCCAACAGCAGGCCAAGCTCGTACCTCAGCTGCTGACAGACATGGACACCTGCACACAGCTACACATATGCTGGCGTGCAAGCACATTTATATATTCAATCACAGCAATTTGTTCCTATGAAATGTCGGGCATATTTAAATCAACTCTGAAAGGTGTTTGAGGTGGCTGGGAGTAAGCGACACGAAGCTACACGGGGCAACAAGAGCCGACAAGGGCAAAGCAACCAAAGGCTGGCTGAGCCTGATCCTTCTGATTTGACAGCAAGGTTGTGAGTCAAACGAATAAAATTATCCTTAGTTTTACCCCTGGAGATGCCCAGGAGTGCCTGCTTTACAGGTATTCCCTTGTGGATGCTTTAGCAATTCAGGTGCAATGCTGAGAACATAAACATTGCTCCACTTCACATTTCCACTCCTTGTCCTCCACCTGTAGTCATTTGCCACATCCCACACTGGGTGTAAGCCACACTATTTTCAACACGACCGTGAGCCGCTTTGCAGGACTAATGGCTTGAGATGAAAAACCTGCACGGAAGCCCCCAGGTGCCACAGGGCGCCAGCTCTGGGCTCTCTGCTCCTCTGCGTTCATCCCCGGTCTCGTTCTTACAACCCATCGCTCCTGGCACAGGGCTGGCGCTTTTCTCCTTGCACAGCAGCTGTTGCTTTAATGCAGCACCACTGCTCACCTGTTCCTGCTCCTGCACAGAGCAGGCTACCTGTGGTCAAAAGGGCAAAAACTGAAGTCACTCAGTTGTTCCTGATGATACTTTCCCCTAATAGCAACACCAATAATGGGAGGTTTGTCTTTGCTCACTAATTTCCTCATTGATAAACGAATTTATCTCCGGCTAATCACAGTCCCTGAAACTGCTCAGCATTTTTAAAGCCACAGCAGTGCCCTGTGCCATGTTGTACATTTCTAAGTGGGGCTGGCGAAGTTGCCTTTCTTTCCCCACTGCCTGAGATTAACGCTCCCTCATCTGGGAGGCAAGATGAGAAGAAATCCTTGAGGCATCTCTAAGGGTGCACTTTCAGTTCCTGACAGCGGGGACTACCTGCTTCAACTTCCAGGTCAAACTGTTCATTTTAGAGCTGGCCTCATGGCAGAGGTGTCTGCAGGACGTTCCCATCTCCAGCAGTAAGTTACACACAAATCCTTTGTCTGCAGGGATGGGAATCAGAAGCCCGATGCACCACTAAAACCACCCAGAGAGCTGACACTGTCTCAAGCAAGAGACGAAAGCTGCTCAAAGCAGGAGCTGTACATGCCGAGAAGCCTGGCCTAGGCCATCTGCAGTGGTGAGGGCTTCACCCTGGCTGAACTCTTCAACAAGAGGCAGCGATTCTGCTGCTTTCAGCTGTGGGGCTGGTTGTGTCTCTTCATTAACCGAGCGGGAAGCCAAGCCCTGGTTGTGGTGAGGCAGACACAGCACCCAGATGTGGAAGAACACAAAGTACAGTCTGAACTTTGAAGAATAAGCCAGAAGACAGCGATGCTGCAATACACAAAAAGTTTATTTTTAAGTTTGTCTTTTCTGAAGGCAAAATATAATAGAACCTAACATCAATGTATTTTGTACAACAAAACAGTTTTCATATGAGAACAGACAATCCATGAAGAGTTTTTAAGTCTTAGAACTGCTTCCCTTTTTATCATGCTTTCTTGTGGTCAACAAAAAGTTGGCACAGAAGACGTCATGGCAGTCAGTCCGCGGGTGTGCTCCCTCAGATCCTCGTCAGCTGGTGCCACAGGCTGGAGGGCAGGATGCTTTCCACTTTTTCCATCACGAAATTTAAAGGGGCAAAGAGGGTGCTGAGAAACTGCAAAAAATCAGATACACGTTCAGGTCAAAATCCAGGACACGATACGCATCAGGAGAAAGCTGTCTGACATGACAAACTCTCGTTGCTTGCTTCTCTAAAACTCTGTGGCATTATAGAAATGAAACAATTCACGCATAAAGCCTTTCTGCCAAATTCTGAGCCTCACATGTGTACAGATTTCTGGATTTTGCAGTCAGGCAAGGAAGAGCCCCGTTTCTACAAAGATCGAAGTGATGAACTACAGAAGTTTCCACAAGTCTAACATCCTGGACCGAGGCTCACAGTAAAGCCACTAAAAGCTCAAACCAAATCCTACTGAAGTGAAATAGGCTTCATTACACTGATTTTATTTACAACTACTTAATAATACAATTATTTATTTCATTTTACACTTATTTCAAATTACACTAATTTTAACTCATCTTTGCACATTACATGGAGGTATTCTGGAGCCCTACACATGTGTGAGAGAATCCCACGATGTGCAGAGTCAGCCGCCTCGAGACTCTGAGCCCTGTGCCTTCTCACGGTTTTGGCTGATGCGACTTTGCCAGAAACAAACAGCTCTGTGTGGAACTGAGCAGCACAGAGCTGCACCAGATTTGTGTTTCAGTTACTGCTGCACAGTTGGCACAAGGCACATGAACTCTGCTTACTACCCTGGCGTGTCTATTAAGTCTCCTTAGGAGGCCAGTGTTAAAGCCGATCTGGTGCTGGATGTGTTCTCCTTTTGCCCGTAAGAAGTCTCTCTCCTGACAAAACGAGGGCATCAGACAATACACGACACACATACACTCTTTTTAATGTTCTGAATTCAGTCCATGCATTTTAAAGGCAACAGTGAGCACTGAAACTCTTTTTTCCCTTCTTGGACACATTTGCATACAATGCACACCCTGCATCACCGTCAACTTGTGCCTCATGGAAGAATCAGGTAGGGCCATCGCTGGTAAAGAGATTTTGTCATAAGCACAGGTCAGAGAAGAAGCCTTTCCTACCTGCAGCCAAACAGTGTTGCAGCTGTAGCCCTACACATACCAGCTGTCAAGCTATTGGCATGAATCAAAGCTGGATGAACGCAGCGCTGACCTCCCTAATCTCAGAGTTTGCCATTCCTGCTCCCAGTGGCTCGCCCAAGTGCAACCATTCCCCTGGTTAAGCTGGGAACTGTTCCAACACACCCCGTAAATTTTGAAGCATGCAAAAAGCTCCTCAGAGGCCAACTTCTGCCCTTTGAGCAGCACTTCATCTAAGTGGTATTCTTGCACCAGCCCACGTACGTGGATAACACTCAGCTTTGTGACCTGTGCTAATTGCCTACTTGTTAAATCAATTAAGCCTCATTTGCCTGATGGTAAGTTTTATGGCAATTCACAGATTTTGTGTTCCTGAAGTAGTCGATTACATCCCGTAACAAAGATTCTGGAGCAGAGAAGAGCTACGTCTTTTCCACCTGGCAAATCAGCTGGTTTACAAAGGATAACTGAATTCATGGCTACCAAAGCCTGGCTCCACTGAAGTCCGAGCAAAACCCCTGCTGGCAGCAAGTGGTTCAGGATGCCACCTGCTCTCTTCTTTGAGCCCATGTAAATGGGGTGCGCTGAGGCTGTCCCAGGGGCGATCTTAAAGTCTCTTCTCCTTCTAAAGTGCTGATGTTTGCCTCCTGCCTTCTCCTTGCTAATCCATGATATTCTCGCTCACCGGGCACAAGCAGCCTGTCTCTCACAGAACCAGCTAAAACCCTGACCCCACAGCTCAGTTTCTCTTCTCACAGGTAACAAAGAACCCATTTCCTGGCCCTGAAAGTTGCAGGACACAAAGGGCTCCTCTCAGCTGACAGCGTGGTTGGTGCAAGGCCTGGTAGCCAGCCACCAGGCTGCTGGAGCAGGGCATGGTGTGAGGCCCTTGGAAAAATGGTGCTCCTGTGCTCCTGCCCTCCAGCAGCTCTGGCAGCTGCCTATCCGGCTGGTTCGCCACCCAGGAGGGCTCAGTCTGCATCACACAGTTTGGTTTTAATGTTTTTTGCTCTTCCCTTCGGTCCTGCCTCTTCTTTTCCCACACAGAACAGAAAAACCAGGAATTTGAGGTGGCAGAGCTGGCGATGGGAGACCTGTAAAAGTTTGCTATCGTTATTTTGTATCGTTATATTGCTGCCATGTTATGAAGGAGCTGCATTTAGATATTGTTATATTTCTGCATGACGATGAAGACTTTCAAACGCATTTACACTGTGCAATTGCATCCAAGCCATGCAATCAGGAATTTGTTTTGCTTGTATTCATGTCCAAAATATTCATGTATTCAACCTCCAAAAGCCTCATTAGAAATTCTAGCAAAAATTAAAAGCGTAAGCTAAGAACATGCTTCTCCTAACCAAGCAAAAATGCTCAGAGCTGTTGTCACTTTCAAGTTCCTTATGCTCAGGCTGACAAAACACTCGAATGGGAGAACTGGATTCTTCTCATTTCTGCATGGGAAGAGTCAGGTCTGCATCCAGGTGCAACCTGACAGACTTGGCTGGATGCATTGGGAATATCTGCACTTGCTGCTCACCTGGCAGGCAGCGCTCAGAGCAGGTTGTGACTCCAAAACACGGGGTGCACTGATGGGGTTTGCTGAATTCCTGTGAGCCTTTGTCAACCTCTAAGAAGAGGAAAACAGCTTTAAAATGCCTTGGACTTCTGCATCCAGTGCTGTAACACAGGCTGCTCAAAGGCACTGCCACAGAGGCACAGCCTCACACAGGGAGGTCCTCAGCACTCAGGGGCTATCTCTGCCTTGGGGAGTCTGTCACTGCCGGATTCATACCTGCGGTCCTAGGACAGCCAGCTAGCTGACGTGGGGGTCTTTCCGTGAGAAAATCAGTTTTCTCTAAGTACAGATGATCAAGACTTCTGTACAAAGTGAATTTTACCTTGAAATTGTATGGACGTGCCTAGTACCACTGGATTTAGTTCCCATTGTAACCAGCATTTCTCCTTTAGCTCTGCAAACAACAGAATCCGTGAGGCCTGGTCTCACCATGCATGTGGACTCCCACCTTTAGTAACGCCTCAGAACTCAGGTGGCAACCCCTCCTGGGTGGTACCACTCTTCCTCTTTCAGCCAGATGCCCATTTTCACAACATTGTGCCAGAACACCACATCTTTGGGATCCCCACATGTCAGATTTGACCATAACTGACCAACTGGCCAGCAGTTAGTAGAATGGATGGAACAGACAGGGTTAGAAAATGTCACTTCTGTGATTTCTTTCCTTTGCTCTCTCTCCTTCTTCCTTCCCTCTTGACATACAAGATTAAATGCTGTTATTAACACAGTTCGCAACTAGATTTTTTTCAGACTAATTCATGAAATTGAGTAGATATCCACATATGGGGTGGTCTCCACAGCTTTTTCACAAATCTGTATGTATGCCAAACCAGTCTGGAGCCCCTGTGTGCCAGAACAGTGAGAGCGTGTGGGTTAATGGGCTATGGAAGAAGTGCAACAAGATGCTTCCTGGAGAACAGGTCAAAGCCAGTTCCCAACGCCCACTCATGCTAACTTAGTTAGTGTTTGTGAAATACAACAAATATCGACTTACAGTAACATAAGCCTGGGCTGTGACGATGATATTACATCTGTGAAACGCTTTTGGGACTGGAAGGCATAGAGAAAGAATAATCTGGACCCATTAAACCACAGTTTCGTACTGTTTGTAACAGACCACAAGGCAATGAGCACTGACCATGCAGGCGTAGGTAACTCAATGCATGTAGCTACAGCAACAGTCAACACATCCATCTTTGAGTTATTTATGAAACGATCTTCCCTAAAACTGAAAGGGACGAGCTATGGCTGGTCAACCTTTTCTATTCTGTCCTGACACAGCTACATTTCAAAGAGATGGCTGCCGTGATTTTCTTCAGTCTCATATACCTGAGCTACTTCTCCCGGAGGAGATACCAGAACGAGCCGTCTGAAGCAAAGCCTTTTTGTGAGTCACTGAGGGAACGTCACAGGCCTGGATTCTGCCCTTCCTATGTACAACACGAGCTGTGGTGTCTGTTCTATTAGTTTAACACCAACGGCAGCTGCACTTACACATCAAGGGAGCAGATCCTTCTAGAGAGACTCTGCTCCCGAAATGTCCTTGGAGCCTGGAGGCTCCACAAAACTGAGAAACAATTACTAACATCACCACTAAACTTCTGATGTTTCTGTCTGATTGCACTCAGTAACCACAGCCAGGTGAGTTAAGCTCACACAAACACGCTACCAATTTTCTCCAGCTCCAGCAGCTCACTGCCTGCAGTGGGCACACTCAGTGCAAAACCTCATCGTGCTGCATGCTTGACATCTGCCCTTTGTTGAGGATACAGGGCTGACGAGCACAGGGACAAGTCTAACAGGGACAGATTTCATCTCATTAACTGGCAGCATCAGAAAACTGAAGATTACACCGAAAGAGCCCCCAAACAAGGGTCACACATTGCAAAGACTGAATGAAAAAACAAACAAAAACGCTTAACAAAGAAGCTTCGGAACATATGCCTGAGCTGCACAATTACTGTCCACCAAATAGAAACAAGAGAAAAGAATAGCATTTCAGACAGTCTTCAGCACTTTTTACTGATAGAAGTGGTATCTTTTGCTACAGCTTAACTTATTGTCTGTCTTCTAGAACTAATGAAGCAAAATTATTGACGCTAGAGCTATTGCTGTACCAGACGTCCATCACTCACAAGCCTTGTGGAAGACCTGGTTCACTTGCAAAGGGAGCTTGAGAAAGTATTTGCAGTCTGGAATTTGACAAAGCCATTCAGCCTAGTTTTCTTCACCCCTGACCCCTCAAAGTCAAAAGCAACAAAGCCACAACACCTATATCAGGTAGAAATATATTTGAGAAAACATATTCTTACAGAGGATATCCAGCATTTCCTGGAAGAGCACACAGTTTTTTGATCATCTTGGAACTGTTCTAGAATGTGTTTTTGTTGTTGTTGTTGTCTGTTTGTTTGTTTTCATATCCTAGAACACCAGAACAATGATGTTCTTGGCTTTGAAATGAAAAAAAAAATGTGTGAACAGTTCATGGCCTTTCCCCCTCAGCCTCCAACTCTTATTAATCCTTAGTGGGTTACAGAAGCAGAATTAGCACAGACTTCCCTGGATGCAGTTAAGAGAAGTTATGAGGGAAGTTATGAGTACACTGATGGTACTTGTTTCATGGGGAAAGAACAGAGAAATTTCCCCTCGTTAAGAGCAGACTGCTTCTGCTCATTCTAAGAGTTTTCACTGCACTGGGAAGCATGGTACAGTCATTAATGGCTCTACACTAAACAGAGGAGTTCTGCAAACCATAATTAGTTTATTTTATTGGATTATGTACGCAAACACAGACATTACCTTGTCCATCCGAGACCTTTTTTGGCAAAATCACAAGAGATGTAACCTAACCAAAGAGCCACTGTAAACCCAAGAAGACAGTAGTGTGTTTCACTGATTCAAACCCTTGAGAGTTGTTCAATGTCCCTGCTCAGACATCTCATGATGTTTTATTTATATTAGTGAATGTGCAGATGTTTAATCCTCAGCAATATTTCTCTCAGCTCTTCCTGTATCTGTGTCTTTAGTTACCAGAAGAGAGCAGCAGCAGGAAATACTCACAGCTTTTGCGAAGACCCCCATAAGCTCTGGGAACTGATGTGTCAAGAGGGCTAGCATGGCTGTGAAAGAACAGAGTCCAGCAGTGAAGAGGATGAAGAAGGGAAGCTCTTTCTTGGGGTAAACTGAAACTTCATGAAATGCTGTAGAAAAAAGAGGGAAGGAGAGGGCATTGAATGTAAAAACAAACAACATTCTTACGTGGTTTTAAACAGTCATAGACACCCAAAGACGCTTTTGAAGAAAGAAACATACAGAAGATCTGAAACATCTTAGGCCAATGCTATTGTTGTGTCAGCTGTCTTACTGCCAAGTAATTCTGATCTCAAGATCCTATCTACCTTACTCTGACCTACCTAAAAAACTACTTTTGCTTTCCTTATGTCAGAGCTAGCTGTAATGCAACTATGCGACCACTAACCCCAGAAAAATTGCCTACAAATAAAATGGCCATTTTTTTTCTGCAGACCACTGACTAGCCGTATGGCTGCATGTTTGCTAATGCTGATAAACACTGGGTGCAGAAACGTGCACCTGGGAGCAGCAGTGGGAGCAGTCTTTCAGCAGCCAGCATGGTTGTGGATTGGTTTAAGCAGGCTGTAAAACTACCTTCATTGTAACAGTAAATTCTGGGGCTTACATGTGCAGAACCAAGAAATGCTATCCTAAGTGTAGGACATACAAACACATACTTTCAATTCCAAATTTTCACAATTCTTTGTATCCTTGTAACAATGCAACAGCTTTTGGAAGTTTTGAAAAATGAACTTTAACAGTGAAATTTTAACCTATTTGTTAGTATATACTAAAAGGAATGCAAGAATTTCCTTGACTCTGGTTATTAAAAAATTGCTCACTGGGCTTTGGAGGAAGCAGCACAGACAAGTAATTACAGGGTCGGAGGAGGACAAGGAGCACTCTACTAGAAGATTATATTCCTTAAACCTTTATGGTGGCTCTGATTCAAGGTGAAAATCTGTCTGGGTTGGCAAAACGTTTGGTGAACTCTTGTCTGCCTGCTTCACTCATTCAGTCCATAGTTTGGAGTTACAGCCAAGATACATGCAAACCTTGAAATACTTTTTTCTGATACAAGACCAATCTCAAAGCTTCCCATATACCGAAATCCCCTGACTATTTATACGCACACAAGACATTACTCTTCCATTTTGCCTACTTTCTTCACTTCAGTGATCAGGTCTCATCTCACCATACGTGCAGGCAACACAAGCACAGGGCAATCCAGCAGCATGGCAGAGCAATATGACTGAGCTCCTCCAGGGTGGAGTGCTTTCCAATACAAACAGTAGGAATTCTTAAGATTTTAAATTTAAATATTATAAACCCAAAACATGTTTAATTTAGGGGTTTTGTATTATTATTATTTATTTAAAAAAAAAAACAACACATAATTTGCAATTTTGATGTCGACAATTTCTGGTGTGCAGTTGTTTGCATGTGCCTTTGACACGGCCTCAAACTTCTTTTTCTTGTGTGTTATCAAGTCATGGCTAAAGTTATGCGATCGGTATTTTTAATTGGAATAGCCTCTCAGATCTCAGTGCTCTGGTATCACTCCAGCTGACTCTCCTTTGAATCACAAGCAAATAAAGGGTGTGGACAGGTACGACAAACCGCTTTAACCCATCTGTGTCTGTCACAGTACATTAAACCCTTCCCTACTCAAAACCAAGAGATTTTGCAGTGAAATGCATTTCCCATAACTGCAGGAACAACACATGACTATCTGAGTATGTTGTTAAAGAGTCCCTTGCTTCTAACATCTGACAGGAAAAAATCATTGTGCATCTAGAACGAGAGTGCTGAACTATTCTGCATGACTTTGTCATTCCTGCATCTCCTGACACTCCACCCTCCCCAGTTCAGTATCCCTCCGAGTAAAGCATGCAGAGCACTCGAAGAGGTGTTGTTGTAATTAGGGTGATTCTAATGGGGTGGGGAGATACTGTTGGTTGCCAAGGATTTCTGTGTAATATCAGTGAGAATGCGCTGTGAAGGAGAGCCTCACAGTGAGCGTACTGTAGCCATCTTATTCTCACCTCATGTTTACCCAGGCTCATTAAAAGTGGCGATACATTTTTTAGCCCAAAGCAGAGAGGTCATGAATGAAAGACTACAAAGAGAACAAATGCCCTCAAAACCAGCACTCCCAGCAGAAGCAGGCTGAGTTTTACTTTTTTCAAAGATTTCTCTTTATTGCTTCATCCGAATAGAGACAGTGAGAGAGGGATCTCCTTCCTTGGATCAACCTGTGTTTGTCTCCTCTGCACTTGTGTGTGTCCCATGTGTGCTCACAGATCCCACTGCCTTTGGTGAGAAAACATGTGGGACCGAAGCCCAACTGTGGGCTGCTTCAAGGCTGGCTGCTTCAGCTCTTCCTCTGCATTCTTCTGCTCCCCTGCACGCGCCGCAAGCGGTCCCATTTGCTTGTTCTAAAACTCTTCCCCAGGGCTGGATCTGTCTTTATAGCTGTATCTTGCAGAGCACTGGGAACACTGCTGGCACTTAGCTAATACATACCATAAACATATATGATAAATGACTGAGATATTTTCACATCAATCTCTTTATAATAGCACACACATCATTACATGAAGAAAACCCTTTCTTGTTATTTTGGACGGCTTTTCAGAAAACGTCAAAATAACCTGTCAGAATAACAGCTGCATTAATGATCCAGCCATCCTCAGGCAGGTTTGATCTTGCCTTGGAATTAAGTAGCTAGTGTGTCTGCACAAGACTAACACGGCTGTGCAACTGTGCTCTTGGTTTGATGTGTTGTTATCCTAGATAAAAGATCAGACATATTTTCCACTGTCTTGGCAAGAGAGAAGCAGCGAGATCTAACAGATTTATATCTCCTCAGTAATCTCACTCCCTATCTCCATGCTGTTGACAACAATAAAGATAGCTAATCATCATGAACTATGGCCTTTTAAACAATCAAGTGAGCTCCAGAGACTTGCTGTCAACTGCTTGCTCCAATCCAGCACATTCAATTTAAAGAGCATCGGTAGCAATCAGTATGGTGAGACTCACGTAAACACTTCTTTGATGCCAACAATAAGAAAAGTGCAACGTACATGGTAGTAGTTCTCTATCTGCAGTTTCTGTACAAATAGGGTAAGGGTAGAAAAGATGTCCTTTTTCCAGTGGATAGGGGATCATTCTGAAAGCTGGAAAGAAAACAACACCATGCATGAATTACCGTGAGCGTGGCAGTCACTGAAGACATTTAACTCCATTGACAATTTTGAAAAACAAACACAGAAACAGTAAAATGTTTATACGTTGTTACAAACAGTTTATATATTGATAAATGAAATGCCAAAATATAAATCTACACTTAGCTTTTGATACTGAAAACAGTTTACTTTTATTCTTGGGAGTGTCAGGTGAGACCATGTTGCAGCTATGTATACAAATGTTTGCATGATCATGGCCTGACATACTTTAACAATTCTATGGTCAAATTTACACATTTTGTCTTAGACTTTCATGACCCAGCATTTTTAAATTTTAGGGAAAGAACTGTATCTGATATAACACGTGTAGCCTGCAAAAATGACCAACCAAGCTTGTGAATTTTGACCAATCCTTGCAATCTCTGTGCATCAGGCATACTAAAAGTTGCATGGAAAAAAGCCCACTACCAGCCACAGTGATTTACCCATCACACTCCAGCAATACAGGTAACGTGGATGAGTCAAGCCCAGAGAACCAGTTTTCCATCACAGTCATGTTTTCATTTTGTATTTGGCAATCAAAGATTAATATCGAATTATTAAAACCAGGTTCCTCAAATACATTCTTTTTAAACGCACCAGATAAAGTCAGGTTTCTGATATAAATCTTCAGGTCGTGGATAAAATAATACTTAATCCTACATGCTTTTAAATTTGAAAATAATAACGGAGAGGGAGGGAGATGGATTACTAAATCTGGCCTGTGGTGATGTCATAGGCCATCTGAGTTATGCTCATGTGGTTTATGGAAACATCAGTGCACTTGACTGAATTATAGCTCTGCAATCAATGCCTCCTTTTCCATTATCCTATATATTATTCTCACTGTTAAAATGTCATCAACGTGTTATTCTCACTGTCCCTATGAACATCAGTCACTGAAGCAATATTTTCCTCACCAGATGTCCTAGAAGCACTGTGTATTTTAGATATTAGGTGCTGCCCACCCCCACGCAATAATATTCCATTATCTCTTGCTCTAAGGCAACTGAGGAATTGGTTTAAAATACACAATACCCCAATGTTTTCAGCTGTGCACACTGCATTTGAAATAATATTAGCTGTAAATTTTGTGCAATTGTGTGTTAATTTTTGATTACATTTAAAGCAATAGTACAGGAGTCAGAAATCCTCAAAGCAGAATAACAATTAGCCAGTGTAACTCCAGCTACTGTGGTATTTCTTCTTGTATTTGAGAGTATTTGAATATTGTTTAAAAATAAAAACATTACACATTAAATTTCAATACTTGGAATGCAGCCATTCTATATTACAGGTGTATGACTATCTGCATCTACATAACACACTGCTTTCTGGGAGATTACTACGATAAATCATTAGAAATTTTTCTCTGTTGTCAGAAACTTCTTACACTGAGATAGAAAGAAAAGATATTCCGTGCCTCCGCTCTTTGTAAATCAAATACTCGTGTTTCTAAGTGCTTCTGCAAAGTAAAACTACCTACCTAATAATTATTTTCTATGTGAGGAAGTGCAAAAGACTGTTGAATTACCAAAAATTTCAAAATTTTTGAAAAAAAAAATTCAAAAGAACCTAGAAACCTCTCCATGCAATGTATCCTCTAGGAGAAGTCCTAGTATGATTTTCTTTAATGTCAGAACATGATCTACATCAGGAGACAACGAATTTGAATCTCAACCTCAATAGCACTATTAAGAAGAAATGCATTTGCATACAATCTTGGAATGATTCTCAGATTTTGTTGGCTAGGTGGTATTCTTTCAAGGACTTCTTAATGTATAAAGAGTGCCTTTATGGACAGAACCATGCTTTTTACTTGCAAGCTGCTTTAAAAATATTGAATTAACTATATTCTGTATAAGATTTTGCAAACAGCACTGTTATGAAGTAACATGGCAATTCCATCTGTTAGGCTATAGAATATGCAGAGGCAGAGGGACAGCATTCTTTATTCATATGAAGTGTCTGCACTAACAGACCCACAATGAAGGTATCAGGCAATTGAGGCCACAGAGGTCAAAAAATGGCTTGCTAGTGAGTATTTGCTGAAGGGACCAGGAAATTCAAACATCTAGTCTTGGAAGCACACTTTCCGAAATCTTCCTGCTCCTCCTTTCCTCTGGAGATTTGCATCAGTCTAAAGCAGTGAATATCTCATCCATCAGCTTCAGGACATATTCTGTGTTTTCCACTGATCTGATACGTACGGTGCTTCCCGATAGAGCTATTGTCTTACCTCAGAGCCAGTTAGGAGGTTTTAGACAACTGCGAGAAGGATAGAGGAACTTACTTTGAGAAACAGCAACAACTACCATCAAGATGTCTCCATTCAAACTCGTTGTCTACACTCATTTGGTGGGAAGCATTGGGCAGCTGGAAGCATCTCACTCTAACCTAGATGTCTAAAGCAGGTTGGAGGAACCAGCATCTATTCCCTTCCATTGACGGCAAGGGAGTCTAACGACAGAAAAAGCAAGTTCATTCAACAAGCTTCTGCTCTACAGATCTGTTTATACTCATTCTTGAGAAGAAAAAACAAACAGGTTCTCTGCTGGAAAATGACAAGTCGTAGTCATGCTTCTGCTCATTTCCTGCTCTGCAATCTATCTCTGGGGCACCGCAGATTGGAGGATACAAGTGGCCTTTCTTCCTCCTGGCTCTCTGCTTCAATATGACATTCACCTGCAGCCTTGGAGACAAGGCGAAACCCAGAGTTGAAGTGACCTGAATCAGGTACTGTTCTGACACTAACTAGGAGAATTTTGGGGAAGTTGTTTTTAACTCCATGAGCCTCAACTACGTACTTGCATAACAGTGCTCCTTAGGGCTTCATTAAAGCTACTGAAATACATGTACTTACTGTTGACAAACATCACAAGAGCATCAAAGTCAGCACGTGGCAGAGGAGCATCAGAGCTTTCAGCCCCACGTTTGTTCCCTAAGAGGCAGTCCCTTAATTTCCAGCAGTTTTAGAAAACAGCCCAGGCTGTAAAGGTCTTCTAATATTAACCCTTCATACTTTTCACAGTGCCCCCCAAAAGCCAAGTAAAAATCCAATAAACCAAGCCTTGTGTGATCCTCACATGAAACAACCTTGAGTGTCTGTACAACAATGGATGTGGAGGGATGGATGTTCAATGCTCGTTACTTCAAAATCACTAACAGAAGTATTCTCCTGAAATTTTGGCTTAATATTTAAACAGATGATCAAGCCTCTTCTGCCTCACCCTAAATTGCAGTAGTATTAAGACTGTAATTGAAATCAAAAGGGACAGTAAAGCTAAAGATGGCAGAATGGATTGCGTTGAATTTAAACAGCCACTTTCAACATGTGACCGAATATTGAATATTTACAACAAAATAGTTTATTTAGCAGGATTATCAGCCACAGAAGAAAGTACTCTGGTATATACATGAAGAGTTTATGTTCAAACAGAAACTCCTCCTACAGTGGCAATTCACCGTTGATCCATATACTCGTAAAAGCTACCATAATGGCTGAGAACACGTAGGTATTTACTCTTCATGCAAACAATGGGAAATGTGGTGCACGTTTAGAAACTGACAGTGATGAACAGGCTCCTTGGACTCCCTTGAAATTTGGAAACACTTTCTGTATGGAGCACCTGACTCCAACCCAGAGCAGCATTTCACATGGTGTCACTCGGGCTTACGATCTGCACCATGAATACAACTTTATTTTGACTGATCAAAAAAAAAAAAGGAGCAGGAAACAAATAACTTTCTAGTTTGATGATTATCATTATTTTCATAACCTCACTGCTCTCAATTGCTGAATACAATTTAGACAAAGCACTCTGTAGGCACTTCAGAGCTGAAAATACCACAAAGACAACTTTTGTCAGAGGCCACCTTACTTAGGAGTGCCCTTATTCTCCTCAGAAGCATTCAGAAGGTGCACCCAAGCAACTAACTCAGACACTGTACTTGGTTCTGCCCAGTTGTCACAGGGTTACAGCTGAAGAGTACACGTGTCTGTGGGCTTTAGCTTCCTACACACAACCTGCTAAGCTGAGGCTTGTGGGTATTTTAAGCGCATTGACAATAGCACAATTTCAAGACATGACAAGCACATGAATGAAAGAAAGCGAGGGCAACTGACCCCATATGGCAGGCTGTTGGTATGAAATAGTATTTAATTAACTCTATTTTCTCTGTCATGTTTCCACTGGATTTAACTTACAATTAGGCAGAGATGCTAAGGAAACCTTTATCAAATAAAGGATGTAACAGCAACATAAATAGCTTCCTACATCCTTAAAGAACGTTACCCATACTAAGATATGGACCAGAAGTTACAATTATTAGATTAAATTCTGGTAAAACCATTAAATCCCATGACTATCCATGCTTAAGGAAAATCTGAAAAAAGTTCTTGAGGGCCACTGCACAGTTCATCTCTCTCTGAAGTTGCTGTGCAAAATGAGTTAGAGATTTTTCTTTATAGTTTACACAACAACAGCCATTAACATCTTACAGGCTAAGGTACCAATATTTCCTAATGAATTACATATTCAGCTTGCTGTGGGGGGTAATAAAGAGAGGAATCGATTCATGTAGCTAGATGGGAATGCCCCACATTGCCTTGAGGCACAGATGACTACATTTCCTAGTTGGCAGTGCAACCAGCCTCCAGTGCCAAAAGCTGGTCTTGGAAACAGCCCCTTAAGGACTCCCCAGCCTGACAAAGCAAAAGAAGATCTATTTGGGATTCTCTCCAAAATGCTGCTCCATAATGATGGCATATAATGAGGCTTTGGGCTAAACAACTTCTGCAAGCATCTGGAAAATAAATTCTACAGAAGGACAAACCACTGAAAATAAACCACTGCGAAGAAAGCTATGACAGAGAAAATAACAGAATGGAAGAAATCACAGGAAAAAAGCAAGCAGATAGGAGAGAGATCAACCCCCAAATGACTATGGTACAAATTACCAAACAAGGTGTTCTACACACCTAGAATTAAAGCCATTGTTTCCTCAGGAAACATATCCTGCAGATCAGGCAAGTTCAGGTCATTTAATACAGTGACTGAGACAGTAAATCACTTTTAAGCTGTGTTTCAAGCGGTAAGTTCCTTTCTGTAGAAATTATCACAATGACAACCTTTACCTTCTCTAAGAAACCTAAGTGAGAAGAGCAAATGGAGGAAGGAAAAAACTGGTGGTATGATAACATATGAAAAGGCTGAAAGAAAGCAGAAGACAGGACTGCAGAAAAAAATGGACTGGATTACAGAAGGAAAAAATCATCATAAAAAAGGACATAGAGGCTCTTTCTAAATGGTCATTTTTAATTCCTTGGAACCTGAAAAGGAGACATCAAAGACAGGATAAGATAATTTAGCTGTGAAGGAGTAATATATGATCTTTGGAGATCATATACTCTAACCTCCAACTCAAAGTAAGGTCACCTTCCAAGTTAGATCTGACTGCTCAGGGCCACGTCCAGCTGAGCTCTGAGAACCTCCAGGGATGGTGATCTCACCACCTATCAGCAACCTGTTCCAATGCATCACCACTTTCATTCTGAAAATATTTTTCCCATGTCTAGATTGAATTTCTCGTGCTGCAACTTGTGTTTATTGCCTCTTGTCTTTGTGTTGTGCCCTTCTGAGAGGACTCTGGCTCTATCTTCCATAATTTCTTTCTACTGGGTGTCCAAAGATAGCAGCTGAATCCCCCTTACACCCACCAGAAGTCTTTCCCAAGCTGGATAAAACCAGCTTCCCCAGTGTCTTTTCCTACATCACATATTCCAGCTCCCCAGGCATTCTAGTGGTCCTCCACTGGATTAACTCCAGCTTGTCAATGCAAAAAAATAAAAATAAAAATCATAAAATACTGTCTTGCTTTATACTACACATTTCAAATATTTCAGTGCTAGTGAGGATATCACTGACCTCCAAAAATTCCACATGCTATACTTCACAAAAATCTCTCATTTTCTCATGACATTCATTGAAAAATATTTGATTAGCTTCTTTGTAAGAAAAAGAATTACTTACTGCCTTCCCATGTACAGTGTAAGAGATTCAATGCTCCCTCTACCCTTTTCCAGTGTTGAAGATGAAAGAAAGCATATGCTATTGCTTCACTGTCCCCTCTCTTCAGAATATGTTCAGGGGGCAGAATTAAGCTTTTCATTTCTAGTAGATACTGCAATAAAAAAGCAGAGTACAATTATTTCAGGAGTAACAAAAAACACAGAAAGCTTCCTGCAATTCTACAGTGCATACTGAAAGGTCTATTTCCCTAAAGCATTTCGTTTCATAAGTGTTTCATCAGATGTGTAACATCAGCAACTGCACTAGGAGATAATTACGAAATGATTCCCAAACACTAAGACACGCTGACAGATGGTTAATGTTTTGCTCTTCACTTGCAGCAGGAAGACCATGGAGAATTTCAAACTGAGATGCCTCTCTTATCGGAGGGGAAGAAAAAAAAAAGCTCAAAGTAGAAGAGAGACTGTAATTACAAGAGCTTTTTAATTAGAAATGTTCATAACGAAATGAAGACGACATTAAGCAGTTGGATGCACATAGTCATAGGTTGCACACAGGTAGCTTTACTGCATTACCATCCACAGGGTGCTAGGTCTATAAACATGCAGGGCTGGCAGCCACCTAAGCGGCTACCAACAATTTATGAAGAAATAAGGTTTACAAAATGTAACAAATATCAGATTTCCACCCAAAAAAAAAAAAAAAAAAAGTACTTGATATTTAAGATTGCTACTCAAAATACTTACTGAAAATGGCATGAAAATGAAAAACACCACTGGCCAAACCCACAAACAACTCGCCCAGTTAGTGGATCCCCTACAGCAGCAGGTGACTGAAACACACAGAGGGTTCATGCCACAGAAGACAGAGGTCCTGAACATTACTCAAGCAGGGGATCTTTCCTCATTCCCCAGCCCAGGAGTTAGGCCACTACCAGATCAGCAGACATTGCCTCAGCATTGGCGTTACTTCATCCCAGTCAGTGGAAGGGAAATTTTTTTTTTGGAGTAGCAAAAATAGATTTAAAGATGAGAAACTGCAGATTTTAGATAGGGAGGGTAACAGTTTGGTGAAATTAAAGAGGGTACAAAAGAAAGCTATGGACAATCACCAGCAAAAAGAGAGAAAGTGCGCAGCCCCTCTACTCTAGATAGTCTCTGTGCCTATGCGTTGGTCTCTGCTCTGGTTGGGAAGAAGGACTGCAGAATTAAGGACTGACAAGAACTGAGTGCAGGCACTTGCCAGAAGGTTGCTGTGACACATCAAAGGTGACGGAGAGGGGTGGGTGATGGCACCCTTCTGGCTCCTGTCAAATACCAACCTCTGCAAAGGGGAGACTCGCACGCTGGCTCAGTGATGCGTGAAAGAGGAACAAAAAGAGGGGGAAAGAAACAAATGAGAATTCCAAATCATCCTTGGAGAAAGGAAGAGGAAAGGCCCAAGAGGAAGGAGAATCAACAGGCATGATGTCCTGGAGGGCATCCTAGAGCTAGTCATCCCTTCAGCCAGAGGACGCCTGGAAGGAGCTAGACAAACAGGTAAGGGATTGAAGAGACCAAGGTCAAAGCAAAGAACTGACAACACCAAGAAACAGATAAGTAATTCAAAGGGAAAGAAAAATCACACGTGTTTCTGATGCAGGTCACTACTGAAGGAGAAAAAAATGAATTAGCAGTGAGAGTAACATGGGATATTGGATTTTCTCTAAAGCCGTTCAGAAAAATTAGAGAGCTCTGTGGAGCAGGTGGATTAGTGCAGGAAGCTGCAGCCTAGTAGGCAGGGCAGTCTGATGGGGGATTGAGTGGCAGAAAGAATGGAATAAAGACCTGACAAGGGAGCTGCCGAGCTTGCAGAGACACAGGGGATGTTCTTATTTACTGCCTATATGAATTTGTCACCCCTTTAAAAGCTCAGGTCCTACCCATTAAACAGAATGGAATATGGCTGTGTGGGATGCAGACTGCTTGCTAACTGCTCTGTTCTTTTAGAACACAAATCTCGCTTCCTTATATTTTGCAAAAAGAAGATATTTAAGTATTTAAATATTTATATTAAAGGGGAAAAAAATGCCACTATTTGTAGGGAAAAAGAACAGGAAGGAATGTCCTATCTCTAGGAGCATTAAGACGGAAACATGCTCTTTTGATTCTTATGTACTGCTTGTTAGCAGTGATTAAAAGCAAATCAAGTGGAAATACCTGATGGTAGGATGTATCTTGAGACCTGCACATCAAGTTGTGTTGATATGTACAACTACCTTTTCATCCTTCATTTTTCTCAGTTTCAGAAAGACAAAACTATTTCTAAAAGTTTCTTGGGTCAGAAATGGGAGACACTCCTCCCCCACTGCTCTGTGACAGCGACTTTCCCAAACCAGATGCCCGTAGTATGGCTTGGTGACATTCAGGACGGCTCACACAAAGTCGATGGATGGCTCGAGTCTCATTCAGGCCCTGTAATCATTTCTGTCCTATGCACAGAGGCCAGGCCCACCTTTGGGGCATAAAAGCTATCAAGTAATTTACTCTGGAGGGACTGCCGGCAGGAATGCTGACTGTAGGCAGCCCCAGGCAGACCTCAGCTGGAACACTGCACATCAGGCACATCCAGAAACATAAAGCTCAAATTCTACAGGAACACAACAGAGCCAAGCAAGAACATGGCAAGCCTGCTGCGTGAGAGAACACTTCAAAGCTTCCGTTTGTTTAACCTACCTATAGAGCAGAAATGGGCACCAAAAGGAACCCAGCTGAAGGCTGAGCTCAATCATCCGAAGGAGGGATATGGCAGTCCACGACAATGAATGAATTTGATATCCTAGAATGACATCCACCCCTGTGTTGCTGTATTCTCAAGGAGAATTCAAGGGCCCTGAGAGCCCTTCCACCTTCCTGGAGGTCTTCCTGAGAGGGCTCAGGGTCTGCTTGCAGTTAGCACAGCCAAGGCAGACCCCATTTTTGGGTGACTGCAGGCTACTGCCACCCAGGTACCTGACAGACAGGACTGAGTCTCAGATATCTGCTGGGTTTCTAGCAGATTGTCACTGTGATGAACACAGTCCCCACAAACAATTTGTACTGGAGAAAAAGGCAAATTCCAGTCAAATGAAATGAAATTAAATAAATCTTTCTTCCAAATCTGCTCAATCAGCTGCCAGTTTATCATGGTAATGGCAATCCTGATGAACTTCAACGCACGACAAAAATCTGCAGCTCTTGGCTAGCCAAAGACATTTGATTTTGGTTCCCAAGTTGCTGCTATTGCACTTAAATCAAAGATGCTACATGAGACAGGCACAGTTTTCTTTCTCTTTAACATCAAAGACTACAGGGTGGGAAATTGGCTGTTTATACCTAATTTCCAAAGGCCTCAGTCCAGAGCACAGACTTGTTCTTACAGGACTAATGTAGATGTAAGATCCTACCATACCAGCAAAATTCATAGCACTGTGAACTCCAGCTGGCTTTCCAAGAGAACAACCAACACCTGACAGATCCCTTATTCACCTGTGCCTCTCGATATACTGCCTGCCATGTGTGCACAGCCATGATCCTATATTTAAAGCAATAAAACTTCATCACCTTTTCAAAACTTTGAATACTGAGGGAAGACAGGGAGGGGCTTTCTGTCATTCTGATAGGGCTCTGAACCCAAGCACGGTTCCTGTACAAGGGAAGCCAAGTTAACACGCTAAATAACCACAGCAAGCAAAGAGTTGGCCATCAGGGAGGAAATGGAGGTGGCAAGCCCTGCACATCTCCACCTGCACTTGTTTTTCAATGACAAATGAAGAGGTTTAACCAGAACAGGAAATAATGCACACCACCACCACCATCATGGGGTTACCTTTTTTCTTTAAAAAAGGGACCAATGTGGGGAAGACAATCTAGAAAATTTCAGCCAGAATGATCTAACTGTGATCAAGGTATGAGTGAATACTCAAGTTGCCCAACCATTACCGTCACCAACAGATGGCTCACCCAGCCTTTCTCCACTGCACTGTGTTGGTTTGAATTTTGTGTTGGTTTCTGTTTGTTTGTTTGTCTCCTGGACTTTCTCTTCCCTCATCCCATACTTCTTCCTGACAAAAATCTATCTTTTAGGATTTACAAGGGAAACAGCATGTAATTCCACAGAAGGCTTCTGGGCTGGCTACTTGACACTGTAATAGCAAAAACCACGAGCTACAGCCACTCTGGCCACATGTGGGAACGCACCTTTTAATGAGCACTTGGAGGATGACAGTGGAAACTTGCAAGGGTGTTACTGTTGTTATAATGCCTATAGGTGCAAACATTGTGGTAAGTGCTGTACAAGCACTTCGCTGTGTACACGCAGTGTAATATGGTGGAGTTCATAGTTCTCTTACTTGAATTGATTGAATACTCTTTATTTCCTCCGTAATATTGACAGCACTCTGCCTACTACTTCTCTGCTGGGAGTGCTTGTAACATTCCAAATTAATGAGCTACTTCAGTGCCCCGTTAGAAAATACATCAACCTATCTCAGGAAGGTTTTCCCTCAGTTCTGCGTCCTACCTCTGAAATTACAGCTCAGGCTGCTCACAGGCAACACTCACTGCACCTGTGACAGCATCGCCTCCAGGCCAGAACATCAGAATTTAACACTGTTTGGACAGGAACTCTTCCTCCCAGTGGGATGAGCAGCACAAGCTTAAAGCAAAGTTCCAAAATACTGGATTCTACATGCCCAGAGAAGCCAACTGTAGGTCACACTACAAGTCCTCATTGGATTGATGGTAATTAACAAGGTTGGCCTTTTTGCTGGAGATACAAAACAAATCACTGTCTCGCTGAGCAGCTAAAAGCTCTCTTCAACATGTCTGGAACAGTTTCTCTGTAATATCATGGGGTGTGCGGGACGGATTCCTTTCCCATCTGGTATATAAATTTGTTTGCATTATTTGTTTCTATTAGCAACTACAACTTACGAGAAACCACGGGTGTGTTCAGAGACACAGTTCTCATTATAAAATAAATTACAGTAAAGGAGATAAGAAAGAAATGAGGAAGAATGAAAGGGAGAACAGGTAAATCTTTAAAAGTGTTCAAGTTAATAGTTGGATATAACCTTTTAAGAAACAGATTACTCACAAAACTGACATTTCTTAAAGTATCATCAATATTTGC